ATTCAATACAAATACTTTATATACTAAAGTTTACTAGTAACTTAAATCCACAGATTAGTTTATACCCACTTATTGAATGGTCCATAAAATGCTATTATTTTCTAAATTAATAATAATTTTAATAATACTTTAAATCCATTTGTTTTGAAAGGCAAACGACGCTATAATATAAAGCTATGGAAAACATTCATCGATTGTTTCAATTGCCTTCCGGTGGCGGCCGTTGTGGACGAGAGGATCTTCTGCTGTCACGGAGGGCTCAGCCCTGACCTCCAGTCCATGGAACAGATCCGACGCATTCAACGGCCCACCGATGTGCCCGACACCGGACTACTGGCCGACCTGTTGTGGGCCGACCCCGATAAGGACATCAAGGGCTGGGGTGAGAGCGACCGGGGCGTGTCGTTCATGTTTGGGGCCGATGTGGTGGCAAAGTTCCTCCATAAGCATGATATGGACTTAATTTGCCGGGCTCATCAGGTATGATAAGCATGTCCAGTTGCATAAAATTTCTAATTACAATAACTGTGTCTACAATTTACCTTGTTATGATAGTCTCGTAGTACTAAATTAATTATTATAGCTAGTAGTATGACTTAGCAATAAAAATAATTTTGATTTAAATTTTATTATTTATCCAGAGTTGTTTATTTTATATTAATTGCTAGTACAGTTTAACAATTGTGCTTTAATTATGTGCCCAGTAATCGAAAAGTATTCATTAACTCTACTTCATATGACTATTCATTGCTGTCTAATCATATAAATATAGTATATTATGAAAGCTAATGTTGAATTATATTTGTGGATTACTAGGTCCACGATTATATGTATACACATTATTGCTACAAATAATGAATTATGTTTATCATGTGTTTTGTTACAAACTGACAGGTGGTTGAGGACGGGTACGAGTTCTTTGCCAAACGCCAATTGGTGACCATATTCTCTGCGCCCAACTATTGCGGAGAGTTTGACAACGCGGCCGCTCTTATGACAGTCGATGAGACCCTCATGTGTTCATTTCAGGCATGTATTTTCACCCGGATCATTGTAACACAAAGTCTTTGCCTTCCAGTCGTGTCTTTGCAGTGATTATGGATCAGCTATTGGGTGATAGTGTGGACAGTTGGATGTGATGCGGATGAGCGCGCACCCACTCATGGATTTATGACCATATTTATGACCATGCGCATATTAATTTTTATTAGTTTATAAACCGTGTATTGTTTTTGTATTAATTATGTTTTGTTCATATTTTTGTTTTCATTAGATATTGAAGCCCATGAATAAGAAGAAATATAG